GACAAAGATTTCATATGGATCTGTGGCCTGACAGTTATTGGACATACTCTAGATATATTTTAAAGATTGATTTTACAATTTTACAGTGAATAAGTGTTGCTAAGTTAGTTTCAGAATATCATGAAACCATTAACAAATTATATTTTTCTTCCCCATTAGCCCAATTAACCAGATGCATTGCAGTGGACTAATTACATGTTCATCTACTTGTCTACTCAGTCTTTTTCCAACAACAAGCTCTTATAAAAAACTGACTGGAATCTGGCTGGAATCAGGTAAAAGTTTCCTTAAAGTTGTAACCTTCATTTAGTAACAATATTTTGCACGTGATCTGTCACATTATTGCCCAATATGAAACTTCTTTTCTTCAAGGTATTGGAGAAGGTTGTTGCTCAGCAACTACACCTATTCCACAGGAATGACAAAGGTAGTTTCTTCCAGACAGGATTTATACCTAACCACAATACTGAGACAGCACTAGTTACAGTTTAGTCCATGACTCATTATTGTCCTGACGGATCTCTTTGCCTCAAGATCTCAGTGCAATGTACAAAACATTGTCCTAACACTGTCTGGAAATTGATTCCCAACCTAAAGTAAGCTTAACAGAAGTTTAGAAACTTTCTGAATGTTCAAGGCTTAATTATGGCATCCCTCAAGGTTCTGTTTTAGAGATATTACTGATTTACTTGTGCTATCACTTTGTGTTATCACTTTGTGACATGGATATTTGCATGCATTGTATTAGATTTTATTACTTTATTAATAAGAAAATTAAATTTTTATCTGCTGCTAAGAATGGTCTAGATTTTATGAAAGCTTGTTTCTGTCATGGGTAACAATTGGGTAACAAACGTAAATGGGATAAAAAGTCTCAATTACATTTTTTATTTTCTAATCTGTGGCAGAAAAAAAAACAAACAAACTGTGAGATGTAAACTTGGAATTGTGGGAAAGAATTGTGAGAGAAAAAGTTGTGATTCCATGGTAGAAATGGGCTTCTATTAGATTTTCTCTGTTCTCTGATTTCTCTGATCTAATAAATTCAATTTAATGAATTAGCTCTGAAAAAAAAAAAGTTTTGAACACATCAGCTCCATTTTTATTTAATTTTCAATTTAATTGAATTGGCCATTTAATCCAGTCATTTGACAATATATGTTCTTGTACCAACGAGGCAATGAAAGAGCAAGATAATTTACAATATAACTTATTTTTGGTCTCGTTCTGTATCGCGTATCTTGTCAGTGTCTGCGCTTGCTTTTTTTTTACAATTTAAATTTTTTTTATTTAAATTTAATTTAAATTTAGTGTTATGTTAGAATCATTATTATACTCTTAAACCTTTTGTTCTTTAATATTTTTAATTGTTTTTAGCTTTATTTTTTGTTTTTCATTTAAATGTTAAGTTTTGAAATTTTGTTGTATGCATTTGTCATTTTCATTTAATCTCTTTATTTTTAAAATGTGTATAAGTAGTATTTATAAAGTTTTAGCTTTTATTTTTCTATCTGTTTTTAGTTGTTTTAATACTACAATTGATTACTTCTTTTGTCCTCATTTGTAAGTCGCTTGGGATAAAAGCGTCTGATAAATGACTAAATAAATAAAAATAAAATAAAAACTTATACATTGATTACCAACAACTGCTTTTTACTTGCATGCTCACAGAGAGGGGTTCATGTAAGGCAAAAAATACTGTGTGATGTTTACATGATTGCGATGGATAATGGTGAAAAGTGAGAGGGAAAAGATCAAGTGTATCGACCATCAGACCATCAGACATCTCTTTATGTGGAAACATGATACACACTGATAGAATTACCCCACATCTCCTGCCTCAAAGTGAACACACACAAGAAAAACTCAATTTGTACTCCTCCCAACTGGGCTTGATAAAAATGTTCAGCATTAAGGGAATTTCACTGCCACAGTTATGTGCTTGATAATTACACTGTGGCTCACTGGCGCTGACCTCTTTGTATATGTCTGGAATGAACAGGGTTTTCACATCAGCATGGCCATTTAGAATCTGTTGCCTCTGTTGTTTTGTTCTCATTCTTGACTGCAATGAGACAATAAATCTATTAATGACAATAAATTGACACAGAATTGCCTCATAACTTTTGTTTTAGGAGTACACATAGAATATTCCACAGCTATTTGTATTAGCAGTGTGCATGAGATCCTTTTGACCTGGTGGATTTGCTCAGGGTCAAAAACACCATTGTATCTCATTTGGTATTGAGACCTTGTTAAAACTTTTCATAAATGTAACACTTATCTTGTTATTATATTTTTTCAAAGGTTGCAATGTGTAGGCAATTTGCACTTAAAGGAATAGTTCTTCCAAAAATACAAAAATTGCTGAAAATGTACACAGCCTCATCAGGCAATCCAAAATTTGAAGAAAGTGAATTTGATGTGACTGGGCGCTGTCAGAATGAGAGTTCGAACAGCTGGTAAAAACATTGTAATAATCCACAATGTGAGAGCTCTCCGGCCGCTGCCACAACGCCAGGGCCCAAACCCTCCATTTGCTGTAGGTGAACCAAATACAACTGATAACAGCTCACAGTGATATGTCTCGGGTCCCCGCTATAATAGCAGCAACATTCACAAATGTTTACAGAACAAGCGCGAACCCAGTGTGCCTGTAGTTTTCTTTATTTCTGTTTTATCACGTGATAGAAAGTCTAAGGCCTTCTCAAGCCGTACAGCTGACTCATCTAATCTGCGGCCTGTTATGCATCAAACTAATATTGCTGTTGAGACAAAATGCAATGCCATCAAGTTAGCATTTTTAAACATTCGCTCACTATGAATCAGAAAAATAAATAATTTCTAATCAATGACTTAATAACCACTAACAACCTGAATTTTATGTTTCTAAACAAAACATGGCTAGAAGACAGCTGCCTTTGTTGAAGAGTTCACAGAAATGCTATCAATGATTTCCTCAGACTTTGACTGTTTTGCTATTGCAGGGGATTTATAATATAATATTCACATAGATAATGCAGAAAACAAAACTACAATAAAACTACTATAACTGTTTTAAACACTTTTGACCTGATTCAGCATGTGCATGAACCCACACACAAACGTGGACATACTCTAGATTTAATCATCAGTAGAGGTCTAAACATTTCATCCATTGTTATTTCATTGTGTGTAAACAATGACAACTGTGCTTTAGTTGTGTTTCACTTTTGCCGCTTGTGTTTAGCATTTTGCAGCACAAATGCATCACAGTGTGACAAGTGTTTAAGTGAATGAGAATGTGTTTAGAGTTTTGCAAAAAGAGTGCATGAGATTTGCAAATAGAGCCTAACTGCCTGAACGTGCTTAAGGTTTAGCAGAAAGAGTGCTTTATTCGACAAATTGGTTTAAGCTAGTGAGAATTTGGTTCAGAGACTGGGGTTTAGTGTTTTAGCAATTCAGAAAAACTGTAATGAGTATGTCAGATTAATTCTGACACTCTCTAAACCTGATGCTCAGGAGTCTAACCTTTCAAGAGCAAAATTAAAATCCATCCCATCGCTCATTGGGTATGTTAATACATGCAAACGAATGGATGCCATGTGTTTGACCCTACCAAGGACATTCTCTGTCCGCATCTCAGAAAGGCTATCTGCTCATCTGCCTTTTTAGAACAATTCTATTCCTGATATAAATTAAATAGAAATTACATTAAGAATTCTTACTGAAATTACACTAAATTCAATCCTACAAACTACATGCTCTATATGAGCTAACTGTCTATTTGTGTTCAATATCATCTTACCATCCGCAGAAGAATATTATTAGAAGGAAACATTTTTATACCTGAGAATAAGGATATATCTCGTTCTCAGTGACATGCTCTGACATTTCATTAAATCAAGTATAGGGCTTAAGAACTGAATAGACATATGCAACTACACTGATTGGTGTAGTAACAATTTAATATATAATAAATAAATATAATAAATTTAACAGCAAGTAACACATTAAATGAAATGTGAAAATTTCCAAAATGCACTGAAATAGCATTTTCTTATAAACTGTACTACAATATAAAAAAATTACAGTGTACTGAAATGTGGTATTTTAAAAGAAGGATGTAAGCAAGTAAGTAAATAAATAAATGTATTATTTGTTTGTTTGCTTGCATTTGTTTATTTCTTTATTTAAATTCATTGTATCCATTAAAGGGCCTCTCAAGAATTATGATACACTGAAATGTCTTTTTTCAAGAATGTAATGTTTTACATATCATGCAATATCATGCTTTTAATAGATATTTTTTAATAGAATTTACTTTTTGTATTCTAATATACTTTCTTTCTTTCTTTCTTTCTTTCTTTCTTCATTGTTTAATTCTCACATAGATTTACCAGGTAGGCATATAACCTATCACCTTTCTCATGTTTGATAGAGGCTCATAATAAAATATATTTATAATGTTGTGTGTAATATTTTATACACTTGTGTGGAAGACAGTTGTTCTTCCAATGTAAATAAAAAAGTATTTTTAGTTAATATTAATGATAAAAATAAGTGTAGTATGATTAACGCATTTCTGGTTTGGTGTTGATGAAGTGCTGCTTGAGCCTACCTGTGACTAGTGTTGAATAAGTGACAGTCTGTGTGCGTGTTCAAGGGGGCGCTATTGCTCTAGTTGATGATGCTGTGACTGAACGTGATGAAGCCCTGCAAAAAGTTTGAGCAGGTCGTGGAGAATACAACCTCACACAATCAGCATTTTATTTGTAAAAGTTTCAGCGACGTTTTAAAAATGCAGCAGTCACGTGCAGTTTGAAGTCCTTAAAATTGTATTTACATGCAGAAGAATGCGAAATAGCAATATGTATATTGCCGCGCTGTCTGAAATGATTCTGCATCCCACTGTCGCTCAGCACTGTGCTCGGCTTGTATGTGCGCGCATCCAGGTGTTGACAGAGAAACAGTCGCGCATGGAACTTTAACACGCTGGATCCCAAAGTCCGTCTCTCTCACCTGCGCAGTTCGGAGCTGCCATGGATTTCGCGGCCGGATTTACTATCTTAATCACACTGCCGATCTTTCTGCAGACGAACGGCCTTTATATCTCCAGTAGCATAGGTACGTGCGGCTGCCTTTACCTATTTACACTTTCATCCCATCGCAAGATGTCTTGCCAGGTACCACCCCAGTGCGCATCAGACCTGGATGTTTGCGCACTGTCCCCATGCATGTGTGAGAGAAACTTGTGGCACTGGCTATTTCTGATCTTTTTAATTATTCTCTGGACCTTTAGGAAATATAAACAGGCGTAGCATTCTCTTGTGCTGTGTAATTACTGTTTGTTGTGAAGTGTGTTTGTTTCACATGCTGCTGAAATTAATTCTCAGCGCAGCTCTGGTGTAGTGGAAATGTTTTGGGTGTTTTTGCCTTGCGTTTGCGATCTTTGACGGACGCTCTAGCAATATTGATCTTTCTGAGAGCGTAAGTATTGCAGGATATTGATTTCAAATAATAATAATAAAAAATGTCCCCGTTCTGTTCTCATCATTTGGGAACATTTAAACAAAAAGTGCGTTTTGCGTAAAGAAAAAAACAAAACAAAAACTAAAGCTCTGAAACGGAACTTTTGATTCTGGAAGAGACAGATTTGAAGGTTACTTGTTTATGCTAACTTTCGGTTTGTTGGTGACTTGTAATGGTTATTTGTAAATTAGAGACTGTATTAAATGTGCAGTAAGTGCTCTCTTCAGAGATGCACATGCAGAGCTCAGCATCACTTTGAACTGACAAATCGGCTGTGTCTCAAAACTTAGCGAGTTGTTTACCTAGACAACATTGTTGGGCATCATAGGTTTTTGAGAGTCATAGATAATTGAAGCATTTTGAGATTGTTAGGCATCATAAGTGTGGGCATCTTAGGTGAGTGGAGGATTTTTTGAGCATCATAGGTGTGTGCATCAGTTGCATATAGTATTGGCTATCATAGGTGTATGCAACATTTTTGAGCGTTGTAAGTAATTGAAGAATTTTTGAGCATCATTTTAGGCATCATAGGTGTGGGCATCATAGGTGTGTGCAATTTTTTTGTGCACCATGTGCATGAATTATTATTAGGAATGATAGGTGTGTGCAGATTTTTTTGAGAATTATAAGTAAGTGAAGCATTTTCAAGCATCATAGGTATGTGCAGAATTTTTGCATCAGTTGCATTATAGGGTATCATGGGTGTGAGCATCATATGGAAGAGAAGCTTTTTTGAGCTTCATTTTTAGGCATCATAGGTGTGTGCAGCATTTTTGGGGAATCATAGATGAGTGGAGCATTTTTGTGCATCAGGTGCATAAAATATTACAGGTGCATGTGGCTCTTTTAGGTATCATAGTTGTGTGCCGCAAATTTGTGTATCAGGTGAATTAAATATTATTGTGTATTATAGGTGCATGTGGCACTTTTGGGTATCATAGGTTTGGGTATGTGCAGAATTTTTGGTGAAACATAGGTGAGTGGAGTATTTTGGGCGTTAAGGGTGCATGCAACATTTATGGGAATGCATGGAACATTTCTGAGCATCACAGGTGTGTTTGAAATCAGCTGAGCTGAACTGAATGTGCCTGTGATGCCTGAAATGCTGCCTTGGTAGGTTGCTCACTAGGTTTTGTGACACTCATTTAGGATGAGTGATCTTCTTCTGAGATAATTTAAGTCAGTTACTTTTGTTTTTCCCCTACGTGAGTCTGTTGTTGAGTTTCTCCTTTTATATACGTCAATATTGTAAATACGTCTATCATGCATCTGGCTGTCATTGAAAACAATAAGGCATATTGTGAATGATACATTTTATTTATCTTTGTATTTCTTGACGGGAGGCAGGCAGATGTATTATTACAGACACAGAGCAACACACACTTTTCATAAAGTCTCACACAATCTGCGCACAAACAGGCATCATTAAATGATGAAATTAAATGGAAATGATGGTGTCAAACAAGTGTTAATGTGTTTCTTCACCCGGACCTATCTGACCCATTGCTCATGTGCATTTACTTGCTGCATGGAAAGGAATGTGCATTTCAAGTGTCAACAAAAACAATTTAATGAGGAGAAACATTGTTTCTGCAAACCATCACATGAAAGTCACCAGTCTAGTGACATTCATTATAGATGCTGATGCACTACAACCAATATGTGCTGTCTGACTGACTATCTTTGTGTGTAACTCAATGCAGATTCCCTGCAGCATGTTCTGGGGGACTATGGATTGGTGAAGCCCGTTCTTACTGATGCAGAAGGCCGCTTTCTGTCCCATGCGGTATCGGTTGGTCCAGCAGATGGGCAGTTCCGTAGGCGCTGGAGAAGAGAGGCGGCATCGGCCGACCACGCCCACCATGAGTCCGGAGGAGGCACGCCTGAGCGACTGTACTACAATGTCACCGTCTTCGGCCGGGAGTTTCACCTGCGTCTGCATCGCAACACGCGCCTGGTGGCCCCTGGAGCCAAGATGGAGTGGCAGGAATCCGACGGCACGCACTCCGAGCTTTTGAAGAGCGACTGCATGTATGTTGGTGACATTACAGACATACAGGGAGCCTCCGTAGCTATTAGTAACTGCGACGGCCTGGTAAGTGGCCACTTTGGCCTTCATTTTATGTGGTGTCCAGTATGTCTGCTTAATTCACACAAACCCGTCATGAATCTAATCAATACAATTAAAAATTGCTATCATCGAAAACAAACTTTAATGAAAAAGAAGAGTTTAATCCTTCCTATATTCAATCAGTGTTCAATCAGTGTTTTTTTCGGGGTTATCAAGTATATATAGATTTCTTATGCATAGGTATTTTAAGGTGCTCTTAAGTTGTTTACTTCATGCATAGAAATACCAGATCCAACGTTAAAGGAATAGTTCACCCAAAAATTTATATTTGCTGAATATTTACTCACCCTCATGCCATCCAAGATGTAGATGAGTTCATCAGAACCAATGGATCCTCTGCAGTGAATGGGTGCCGTGAGAATGAAAGTCTGAACAGCTGATAAAAACATCTCAATAATCCACACATAATCCACAAGACTTCAGTCCATCAATTAATGTTTTGTGAAGTGAAAAGTCACGTATTTGTAATAAACAAATGCATCAAGAACTTTTTAACTTTAAACTTCAAAACTTCAAACCTTCAAACTTCAAAGTCCTCTATTCTGCTTCCTCCAGTACAAAAGTCATCTCATCTGAATCAGGAGAGAAATATGCACAGATCAAAACAGATCAGATCAGATCTAAAGAAATACTGTGATGTTTTTATCAGCTGTTTGGACTCTCATTCTGATGGCACCCATTCACTACAGAGGATCCATTGGTGAGCAATTGATGTAATGCTAAATTTCTCCAAATCTGTTCCAATGAAAAAAAAAATCATCTACATCTTGTATGGCCTGAGGGTGAGTAAATTTTCCTGCAAATTTTCATTTTTGGGTGAACTTTTCCGTTAAGGGATGTGACTCTGTAATGAGGGTCCTGCTATAAGGTCCATTATGGTGTAGCCTAAATTTTTGTCTTGTGTCTTGAGTATTTACAGTAAGCCATGGAGCTACCTAAAACTATCTGTCTCTTCAACAAACTACTGAAATGTTCTCTTAGTGTATGCAGTAGTCATAGATTTCCTAGATATTCCTAATACAAGCTGAAAGGCAAATAAATAGTTGAGTGGTAGAGTGTGCTTTATAACTTGTGTGTACTGAGATCTGTGTTTATGGCAGCGACAGATGTGAGGATTGGAGCAGAGGCCTCTTGTTAATCACTGGAGTTTTTTTTTCTTTACTCGAATAAAACTATAATTGTAAACGGGCCCAAATGAGAAGCTCAGAGAGTCTGTCAGAGATCATGAGATCCATACGCCCCCTGTGGCTGACATCTTTATACAACAAGAAAGAGAGTAAGAAAATAAATGAAGAATGAAGAATCTTCATAAACAGATTAAACTAAGAGGTCAAATAGATGATGTAGAAATTAAGTACATAGTACCAGTGAGGGCAGTGCTGTCTGCTCCGTTGGTCTCTTAGAATATACTGGTAGAAGCATCAATAGCCCTTGTGGAAAAAAGTGCACATTTTATTGATTGTAAAACGTGAGCTATACATAGATACATACACACACACACACACACACACACACACTTAAATATGATAATTATAATGATGTATTAATTAGACATTGAAAGGTACTGTCAAAATATGTAGACTGAAGTACTGTATGAGTACATTTAGGATTATAATAAATATGCAAAACAAATAGTTACAGAGTTAGTTTCACTGAACTTCATTTTAATATCAGTATTACTAATACTTGCATGTAAATATATCCAATGGTGAATTTAAAATATATTTCAAGTACATTAAATGTTGTATAAAATTGCACTTAAATACAATGAAGTTGCAATAAGTATGAACTCTGAAAATATTATAACAAAAAAACATAGTATACCAGTTGGTATGTTTGTATGTCTCTTGTTTATGTTTCATTTGCATGTTTGTGCCTGTAGAAGCCTGTAGCATTTCATTGCTCTTTATATCATAACCTGTATAAATGCCCCATATGAAGAGCTTACAGGCATTTCTGTAAATACTGTGTGTGTGTTTATGTGCTTGTGCACAGGTATGTCCACACTTGTGTCAGTTTGTATGTGCTTGCGTATGCACGCTCCAGTGGGCAAAGTGCCCACAGGATAAAACCCAGTCTCCATGCTGTCCTTCATCTTCAAACACTCAGGGTCATCCAGGGCTACAGCCGTGGGCATCTTGTATATAAAACAGCCTCAGTAACCCCATTTCCTCTGAGGGCGATACTCCTCAACAGAGAGAATAAATGCAACCTTAGCTTCATGCCTCTTGATATTTCAGAAATTTGTTTGTAGAGAAGAGCTTTTGTAAACATGATTATGTTGCAGAATGAAGAGTGGCCATGCTAATGGAAGTGTATTTTGAGTGTATTTTAAGTGTATTTTGGGTAGCTCAGAATATTCACAGAGACAGATCAGGGAAGTTACACCCTGATTTACATGTATTCGGAAGCTTGTTTTTGGTTTTCATTTTACAATCAGGTTTTTGTAGTGGCAAGCGCTCAATAGCTTCTATATAATGCTTTTTAATGAGACAGGAAAGCAGCCAGATGGAAGTAGGTAGACATTGTGGCAGTAACCACTTGTTGTTCAAAAAAACACGTGGAAACTCATTGTTCCATATCTTCAGAATATCTGGAACTGCAAGAAATCAAAACATCTGCTCATCGAGCAAGAGGTCACGTAGGCTGAAGAGAATCCATTTATGTGATATTATGTTTTCTCCGAAACCATATTTTCAACAAATCAGAGGTTTACATGGTTTACATGTGTCAGAGGTGGGATGTATCCATGATAATCAGAGGGTCTGGTTTAGTAAGGCAGAACTGAGAATTATTTGTACGGTTTATCAACAGGTGTTTATCGACACAATTTACAATAGAATGTGTGTGCAGACACATGCAGTCTTTTGGGATGTTATAGTTTTAATTGCTAAAGGTTGTTTTAAGGTTTTCAATTGCGTGTTTCTGGGAGTGTACATGTGTACTACAGTTTGTGTTTAAAGGCTTAGTTTTAGATTAGTTATGACAAGACTCTTATAAGCTGAGAGGACTATTTGTACATATTCTGTGTTGTAATAAAATGACAGAGGCCAATATATCCTTTAATAATAGCAAAATGTTGACTGTGCATACATCTGTTTTCTTGTGGGGCATGGCCCGATGTTGCAGGTTACGCTGGCACTTACAGAGACTCAAGGGAAAAGTCTTTATTGTTTTTACAAGCTAGAAAAATTAAGCCTGTCTACTCACTAGATGATGAGGTGCTATTTTCTAATATAGACAATGAAAGCAACAAAAGGCAGTGACTCTCTTTATATATGTTTTAAAAAGCTGACAAAACAGATTATTTGAATGCCATTGTGACTGGTCACCTCTTTTTGTTTTGTATGATTCATTAAATTAATACAATCAAGTTGGTCATGTAAATTCGCCATACTGACCAACAGAAAGCTGCTTGGTTTGAAAGTGCTACTTACATTTTTTTTTTTTATATAGTGTTTGATCTGGATTATAAAAAAAGCAGGGTTTTGAGATTTCCAGTCACAGAAAACATTATATGGCTTCAAAAGTTTTGAAATATGTTATATGGCTTCTTTTTGGTGCTTTTTTGGAGCTTAGCAGCTGTGGTCACTATGAACTGTGTGAAGATTCTTCAAAATATTGAATTGTTTATTTCACAGAAGAAAGAAAGTCATACGGATTTGGAACGGCATGAGGGTGAGTAAATGATGACAGAAATTTCATTTTTGGCAGAACTGTTTGTTTAATATTTACTACTTTCTTTTTTTGTCCATAATCTTGGTGGTGAGCCAGTTGGCATCTTTTAACTGCAACTAAACGAACAGCTAACTTTCACAGGACAGCATTCAGAGAACCAAACAGATAGGAAAGTGGAAACAGATAGGTGAAAGACACCACCACACACCCTGAGGGAAGCTTGCGCTCGTAATATGGCCAGACTAATGAAGACAGAGACAGTGTTGAGCAGCTGTGCAGGATCGGAGAGGACATGCCATGGTTGGTGAAAGACAAGGCCAAGGCTAAGATAGCAAACAGGCAGGGGAGGAGAGGCGTATCGAAGACGAATGGTGCTGTCGGCACTTTGGTTTCCATACACAAGCAGGCCAGCGCACTTCTTCCCAGGGGGGACAGTCTTTTATATGGGTGTGCTGAAGAGTGGCCAAGGCCTAATCCTTTCACACACTTCACTGCCCGATGCAATTATACTCTTGCCTCTTCTCATCTCTTGGGACGAATCTGCATCCAGTAGTGCTCTCATACCATCAATCAGACCCTCTGCCCATCATCATAGTGTGCATTGCTGGCGTTAGTTGACAGCAGCATCAGCACCAAAAGGCAAAGCTGTTCACTAGATTCAATCATGTTTGACTTTACTCACAGAGCGACAATATCCTCACTAATAGGGAAACTGCTTAAATCTATCTATCTATCTATCTATCTATCTGTCAAATGCAGTACCACTATAGCTCCCTTTGATACCTTAGGACCTGTTGGAAGAGCTAATTTTTTCCTTAACACTTGGAACACATGTACGGCAGCGTGTCTAATTTTGATGAGGTGATGAATAGAGTCCCACGAGGAACATTAGCACTCCATTCGCCTTACATGTTGTGGAACATCTGTTTCACTTGCTTCACTTTTACTCACGGTTGGCTTGAAGTTCTGAAGCATTACTTGATCTCACCCAGCTAATCTCATTCCTGGAGTTTAAGATGGGTCTGCTCCAGGCTTAAACCATTTCAAGTCCCATAAGTGCCACTGAGTTATTAAATAACACTTTTAACAACTCAATAGAGTCAATTGGTAATTTTAAGAGTTGATGATCCGGTAATGACACAGGTGGTTAAGTCTGAAAACACTGTAGGCCGATTACTTAATTTCTTGAGCAAAAAGCTCTAGCGTCACCATGGATATAACTGTGATGGTGAGCTGAGTTAGCGGAGCTCAAGTGCCATTTACTTCTGAGTATAATCATTATATCA